TAAAGAAAAAAAAAAAAAATGAAGTGCGATTTTTAGTCTATGTAAAGGCGTTAAGTGTGTCATTATTTCTTTTGTGCTAACCTTGATTATACCGTTCACGTTTTCTTTTAATTTCTTTTATTTTCTTAGGCATTCTTTGTAGGCATAATTAGGACATGCATACTTGGTGAATGTTAAAGCTATGATCTTGTTTCTTTGTGCAATGTGTGAATTATGGAACTATCTTCTATGTCTTTGAATGAGTAGTGCTTTCTGTGGAGTGAGTTCGCGAGTTTGGAAAACTTGGGTGATTATGAGATTGACGTGCATTATGATTGTAAAGTCTATATTTACGGCTTTGAGATTAATGTGTTGATATGATCAGGGGCGGACGCAGACATTTAAGAGTAGGGGGGCACAATGCAAATCATAAAATGAAGAACCAAAAAAATAACAAACGTTACATTACAATTGTGCGATAGTCGGGAATGATCATCATGCCAACATCAACATGATTTTCTTGGTTTTTTCTTTGGATATTTCTTTTATCGGCAACACTCGTATATTTTCGTTTATAATATTTCTCTATTACTAATATGACAAATAATAATAACATTAGGTTATAACTTAAAAAATTACGAGCTAATTTTAAAACTATTATTACAATTATGAAGATACCTAAAACAAATAATACATACAAAATGCGCAACAAATAAGAAATAACATTTAAGATGCTATTTTATCAAAATCATGAAAGCCCTAAATTAAAAATTAAATCAATTTTGAATATGTTAGAATATATTGTATATATGGATAGCATATATTAGTATGTTAGAATATATTGTATATATGGTTATAATATATATTTTGTCTATATCTTGTAGGATTAGATTTAGGCTCATTATGTTCCTATATATATGTGTACATGTCTTTTGAATAATACACAACATATTTTTCCCAAATTCTCACATTCTCATATACAAAATTATGGTTATAAAAACTAGAAAATAATTAAATAAAACATACTTTTTGAAATAAAAATTGATAGCCCACTGAAGATGTAGAAGTTGAAACCAAATTATTGAAAGATTTTTTTTTCTTTTTTTTTTATCCTGTACTTGTTGTTCATCTCCAATCTAGAAGGAATTTTGTAACAATACAGGAAGAGAAAATAAAATAAAAAAAAGGAATGTTCAGTCATGCGTGACGGAAAGAAAAAAAAAAAAAAGAAAAAAACTTGGTTGAGTTGTAGTGGGGGCCGGGCCCACAAGAAAGTCAATTTAATTAAATATTGTATATATCATTGCACACTATTATATACAATATATTAGTTAAAAAAACTTGGTTCAGGCCCAGAAGATAAGTTAGTAACATTAAATAGTATACATATTACATTACACACTATTATATATGTACTAGTTAAAAAATTTCACTTCACAGGGGCACGTGCCCCTGCGGGACCCCCCTTGGGTCCGCCCCTGGATATGATTCTTATTGATTTTGGTTGTCCGTAATGAGTCTCTGTGCGTTTTGCATCTCTTTGGTCAGTCTTTACCGTTGTCAAATTGTCCTTGCTTGTTGCTATGCTTTATATTAAGCCGTGTCCACGCTTTATAGAAATATGTTGCTGTCCAGTGAGTTTTTTTTTCTCCCAGTTCTTTTCTTCTATTTTGGTTCCATTAAAAAAAATATTAAAAAACGTTTAAAAAAAAAACAAAAAGAAAAGTTCATTTTTTTTGTTAAGTCTCCTCGTTTTTTCCGTTTTATTTTCTTTATTACTTGGTTTATTTTTTTTTACAGATCGTCTTCTTCCCTAACTCTTGCCCTAGTTTCTCTTTCTCCTAAAATTCTGTCAGGTCAAAATCAATTCGATTGTTGGGCTTCTCTCGTCATTCAACAATCTCTCAATTCTCTCCGGCAAATCCTTGTTCACCAAAAAATTCCGATGGCCCCCGTCGATCGATCAGGAAATAGGCTCCTCTTTGCCGCCGTCCAAGAAATATAGACGCGTTTCATTCGTTGCCGGTCACAGCGACTCATCGTCCGCCGCCGGCTGGTCGTGTTTTGCGGGGACCGTCACTTCAGGGAGATGATGAATCTCAACCGGCGATACTAACTCCCGCTCCCGCTCCTCCAGTTTTTGGCGGCCCGCTGGTTTCGGCTAAGCACTCCAGCCGGGATTCTCACCGGAGTGAGACCGCGCATCCACCATCATCGACTGCTCATGACTCAGCCGCGCCTCTGCAGTCCCACGTATTGGGTGCCGCCTCCGAGCTGCTGCCGTCCCAGACAGCGACTTCCCCTTCGCCGTCCGTGGAGTTACAAAGAAGAGACTGACTTCTTTAGTTTCACATAAAAGATTTATCGGGCTTGCTTTCTTTTATGTCTTGTGTCCAACTCGTTTTTTATTTTTTATTGTTCACTAGATGTTTTGGAATTGGACAAAAAAACTTTGTGATTATTTTGTTCTAGTGAAATTTTGGCATGAGGCCTTAGTCTACAAGTATTTGAACTTGTAGGCTAAATTTTGAATCATTCGTATTTAGTTAATTTTTCGCTGCGTATTTTAATTCTTGTTTTTCGTGTGAATCTGGGATATTTACGTACCTATAATTCTAACACTCTGTTTGGGGCTTGTTGCTTA